GATATATATTTTTTATAACAAAACTTAAGTCTCTACAGCAAATTGAGTTAAAAAAAATAATACCAACACATCTTAAAACATTTTAAAATATAAATAGAATAATGATATATACTTAAACATGACTTAAGTTTACTTAACTTAACATAACTTAACGTAACGTAACATAACTTAACTAACTTAACGTAACCTTACTGAGCTCAACTTAACTAATCTAGAAATATTTGCATATGCAACAGAAAATAACAGAGCAAATCATAATCTAATATACTCGTATCATAACACAAAAACTTACCGTAACATTGAAACATAACCTGACTTGACTTAATATAATATGAAAAAATACATAAATGCGCCGCTCAGCAGCTAAAAGACAAAAAAAATCATAACTTGACATAACATAACTTGACTTAATATAACACAAGACAATATTTAAGTGTGTAGCTCAGCAGATAGGTATACAAATTTCTTGCCATAACTTGGCATAACATTATTTAACTCAACATAAAATGAAAACTTATCTTAATAAAATATAAAAAATTGTCTCCAAGGCATGACCTACGTTGACTTAATTTAGCATAAAAATTATAACTTAACTTAATAGAGCATACAATAATATTCAAGTGTGGAGCTCTACAACTGAGTATAAAAAATGTGACTTAACATAACCTAACTGAACTTAAAAACTATAACAAACCATAATAAAAAGCTATATTCGAGCGACCAGCTTTGCGCAATGTTACCATAACTTGACATAATATAACTTAACTTAACATAAAAATCAAACTTAACTTAAGAATGTATACATATAATAAAACAATAGCAAATATCAATATATATAAAATTACACAAAAATTTGAAACATAAACATAAACAATTCGCAAATAAATTTTTTTAAACTTTATAAAAAAAATTACTTATTTTCTCCTTCCACAAAAGCAAAGTTTTTATTACAAACAGTTTCAAATTTACAGTAAAATTACATTTTAATTAAAAAATTTAAAAATTCTAACATTTTTGTAATGAATAATTTTTCCAACGCCCACCGTTCACCGCCAACAATTAAACACCGTTAGATATTAAAAACGTGCAACAACTAAACAACAGCCAACAATGAATAATTTTCTTTACAAATAAAACCAAAAAATATGTCTAAATATTGGCAAATTATACATTTTCAGTCGTAAAAGATTTTTATGGCATAAATACAATTTCCAAAAAGATAATAAAAAATTGTTTATAAATAATAAAAGAAAATTGAAAAGCATGATAATAAATGTGTGGGGTCAAATCATAATCAATTTGTATGGAAAAAATGCTGCCGTATGCTTTACATACATACATATGAAGGTAATTTTCTATATATGCATATCGACGCTCACACATATACACAACGCAGTACACATGTATATATGCATATGTATGTGTAGGTATGCTGGGGAAAATTTTAATTAAAACGAAATCGAAATAATCGCAAATAGGATTTACCAAATTGTGCAATAATAAAAATGAGCGAAATTCATATTCATGCGAGAAACAATTCAAAGCAGCATATACATATATAAATGTATATGTATGTATGTTTATATGTAGTTTAATGTGAAAATTCACCACAGCGCATATTTATAGTGAATAAATGAATTTATATAATTAAAAAAAAAAACAAAAATTAAACTAAAATTGGCAGGCAAAAAAATATTTTTGTTTTTGTAAATTATAGCAAGGCACTCGTTTCCTATAAATGTAAAATATGATTATAAATTAATTTTAATTAACTTGTAAATATTTATTTTAGCTTGCAAAGGATTTTCATAGCATAAGTTCAAAAACAAAATTAGCAGTTAACTGTAAAGAAGAAAAGCAAAGAGAAAAATAAAGCGAAAGAAGTAAAAAAAATAAATTTGTGATATTACACTAAAAAGCGGTAAGAAGAGCATACATATAAATTATAAGAACAAAAATGTAAGAAAAAAAACAATAAAAAAAAATAAAATAAAATAAATAAAACAACTGAATTTATGTAAAAAAAAAATGCATACAAAATATTGAAAAAAATCAAAATATTAAAGAAAAAAACCAAACAACACAAATGGAGCAGTTGGCAGGAAAGCAAATCAAAAAACCAAAAACAAAAACATATTGCGGTAATATTTGAAAATTTCTTAGTATTTTTTTTCTTTTTTTGAAAATCTCAAAATTTTTAAATATTATGCTATAAAATTGAAATATGGAGTTTTTGTTGAAATTTTTAATTTTTTTTCTTTCAAAAACTGTTTTCGAAAACCTGAAAATTTTTAAACTGTAAAATGGAAGCGTGGAAATTTTATTGAAATAAAATATATGTGACCTGGTCTACGACAAGGGGGCTCAGGTGTCATAAAATCCAAAAAATCAATTTTCACTTTTTAGTTGATTCGAATGGAAGATGAGATTTTTAACAGATGTTTCTTAGAAAACTAGTTTTCGCACGTTAGCTTCCTTTTCGTAGACCAGGTCACATATACTAAACAAGTATATATATATATATATATTTATAAATATAACACTTTGTATGTAGTTTGTATGTGTAATTAATTATTATGTATTTATGTAACAGTTAGCGTAAGTAATTTATTAGTAATGAAAAATAAGTACATTAACATACGGGCTTACTATAAATATAAAAGAAACTATTGATAAATGTGTAAAAAATGATCTAGATTAAGTGCAAAAATAT